TGGGTTAATGAGGAGTATACTTTTAATTGTATTAAAACAATAGTTGGCATGTGTATTGGTAGTAAAGGCAGTGTAATGGTAAACAATAGTTGGCATGTGTATTGGTAGTAAAGGCTAGGTGTTTTGGATTGCTGTTGTTGCTTGTGTTGCTAGATGTAGTAGTATTGGGTGATGTAGAACTTGTAGTGATATTGTTTGTTGTGAATAAAATGTGTGCTTTGTTTCAAAAAAAACTAATTTTTGAAATAAATAAAAATGGAATGAATTGAGTAATAAATACCAACTATAGAGCGAACATTTGGAACTTTGAAGAACACATGGAAAATATTGCACAACAGGATGCCTCAAATGACACAGGAGCACCAAATTCAAATTGTTATTGCAACATGCACTTTGCACAATTTCATTCGTCTTCATCGAAAGGAATACCAATTTCACTCAGACAGCAAACAACTCAAGATAGGCCCAAGGTGATGTTGTTTGATGAACAAACTAAAGATGCAATGAAGAAGTTTAGAGATGAACTAGCACTTAATATCCTACAATGTAGTTAAACTGTTTTTGTTAGTTGTATTTTAATTATTGGTGATGTTATTTGTTAGTTGAATTTCCATTTTACACTTCTTGGATCTTATTTATTTTTCAAAATGTAGTTTTCTCTATGTTTTCATAGTGTAGTACTCCCCACCACATTCCATATTTTATATTTTAGATTAAAATATTGATGTTTACCTTATATAAATTTAGATTAAAAAATATTCTATATAACTATTTAACCATAAATTTTTAAATAGTTTCCTAATTTTTCATGTAGATTAATATACAAAAAATAGTATTATTCATATTAAAAAGTTGAAGAAAAAAATAATGAATGTGAATCATAAAAATAGTGAGATGAAAAAATGAAATAATTTATAAACTATAGTTATGAACATAAAAGTTGTAATTAAGAAACTGGAAGAAATTGGAAGAAACTGGAAGGAACTGGAAGGAACTGGAAGAAACTGGAAGAAACTGGAAAAAACTGGAAGAACTGGAAGAAACTGGAAAAAACTGGAAGAAACTGGAAGAAACTGGATAAAACTGGAAGGAACTGGAAGAAACTGGAAAGAACTGGAAGTTAAGAGTTCAAGTCCTAAAGAACAGGCCCTTAGTCTTATTACCACTTATTTTGTAGGATTTTTGATGTAGTTTTTAAATAAATAAATTTTATTTTTTAATTTTATAACAATAATCAAATAAATTAAATTGAAAATAAAATCGATCAAATTTCGTAAATACAAATGGGAAGAACATAAGAGGGAGGGAGTATAATTAATTGTGGATGGAGCTAGGAATCTGAGTCTTTGATAAGGGAATAGTATTTTCTTTTAAGTTTTAGAAAAAGAGAACGTTGACTGATCGAGCCTGCCTAAGCTTAGGCATATGCACCCAGCAGAAAGGATAATATTCTTGGCAGTACAATCAATGGTGCTCTCTCTTACATTACCGTCACTTGCCTAAATTAAAGAAAGAATAAATTTAGGGATACACGAAGATAGAGGTATCTGTATCTCATTTGTACACCAGACAAACACAGACATGAAAATGAGGTATTTGTATCTCATTTATCCGTTGTTGTCTGATGTACAAATGAGGTACCTCATTTTGGTGTACTCCTAGCATGCTCCTTAAAAAAAGCAAAAAAAAATGTGACCAAGTTTGATCCCCTAAGGAAGACAATGTGAGATTTTTATGTTGAGTAAATTCCCAAAATAGTCTTTTCTAATAAGGACTTTTTCTAAATTAGTTTTTAATAAACAATAATTACTAACATAGTCCTTTGTAATTAAGAAGTATTCCTTAAATAGTTCTCTGTCAAAAATGTCTATTAAATAACAGTTAAATAAACAGTATTTATTCTCTTATGTTTTACATAAAGTCTTCTCTAGGGTTCGCAAGAGATCTCACTTCATGTTGTTCAGTTTGTGATTAAAGTTCTACTTAAATCATCTAGATAGTTGTTTTGACCGGGCCTCTAAACACCTCAAAATAGGGTTTGTCCTAAGAAAGTAAGTGAAGGTCTCGTGCATAGCTTAGATGACAAAAAAGAAGTCCTAGATCTGATGAGGTTAATGTTTTTTATAGGAGTAAAAGAGAGTAATTAGGTGCATAACTTAGAGTCTTAGACGATAAAGACTTAGAATCTTAGATGACAAAAAAGAAGTACAAGCCAAGGTAATGACCGAATCTAACAATTGATAACGACGATGAAAGACGACCATGCATGCATAACATATAAAACTTGTATATATATCAGATAAATCTCACTTTTTATTTCTTAGACTAAAATTATTTTCCCTTCCTCCACCAAAGATCTTCTCATTACGCGTTATGAGGCTTGACAAATTTTAATTTCAGTTTAATTTATTTGATTCTATGAGTAAAATTCAAAAATAAAACTTACTGGAGTATGTAGTGAAAACCTACATGAAAAGTTATACTCCCACCGTCCCAAAAAGTTTGTTACGTTTAGAAAAAACTGCGTCCCGTAAAATCCGTTATATTTCAATTAAAAAACTACTTTTACCCCTTACTTTTTCATACCCTACCTATCACATCATACCTTTTTCCTAATAATCTACCCATCACATCCTACTTTTACCCATCACATCAAGAGTATTTTTGAAAAGTCAATACCAAAATATCTCTCCTTTAATTTCCCAAAAAGTCAAACCGTCCCATTCTTTTTGGAACGGAGGGAGTACAAAATTAGATGTGTCAAGACTATATTAATATATAAAATAAGTAGTAAAAATAAGCAAATAAAGTGAGTTAAGTTAGACAGAGAGTACTATGATCTATTGTACAATTTACATTTTCTTAAATAACTGCACAATTATAATTAAAAGCCTCAACTTTTTAAAAGAGAAAGTAAAGAGGTGTTTGTTTTTCTGCCTGAAGATCTTCTGGTGTCTTTTGTCTGCGCCGCGCAGACGCGCGCAGATGCTGGGCTCTGCAGATTATTTATTTTTTGGAAGACATTTCACTCAAAAAGGTCTTCCTGGCATATTTTTGGAGAAGACATTAACCAATGTCTTCTAACATCTTCTAACATCTTCTCCTTTTTTTCTACTTCTCTTCACCACCACCACCGTCCACCGCCACCGTCTACCACTACCACCGTCCACCAATACCACCGTCCACCATCACCGTCACCGTCCATCACCATCGTTGTCCACCACCACCGCCACCATCCACCGCCGCCGCCACCACCGTCCACCACCACCGCCGTCAACGTCCACCACCACCCTTCACCACCACCCTCCACCACAACCACAATCGTCCATACACCACCACTGCACACTACCATCATTAATTTATATAGCAATCTACCGACATTAAAAAACAAACAGTCTTCTTCTTGCAGACCGCAGACCTTCAGTCCACCACTTCTCCTGCAGATGTCTACAGTAGTGGTCCGCAGACTGCAGACCTTTTCCTGCAGAAAAAACAAACACCCCCTAAATAAAGGGAGTGTGTCCCATGTGCAATCCATAGTGCATACACAGCTACCCCATTTTTATTTAGCAGTTTTTATAAATATGACTACATTTATTACCTTCCTAACTCCCCTCCCAATTTGTACCTTCCATTTATAGTTTTATACATTTTCATGCTTCTTTTAGGCATAAATCAAAGTTAGTTATCCACTTAGGATATACTCATTTGGTTCCATGACAGAATCGTAATTTTGCACTAATATATATCCAAACAAGAGTTTACAAACTATGTTTATACCGTACTTCTTATAAAATATATACCCCTCCGTCCTAAAAGATTTCCAAAGTTTGATTTTTTAAATTAAGTTGTGTCACTCTTTACTGTGAATTGTAACAAAATATATATATTCAGTTATAATGCAAATTTAGTAAAATTCGATTTTATTTTAAAATATAGTTTTGAAATATCAAAATTCTATAGCATCTAATTATTTTAAATTATACTTAATTTATGGTCAAAAGGTGTCACAGTTTGACCAAAAAGTCAAACTGTGACAATTTTTTAGGAACAGAGGGAGTATAATGTAGCAATATATCTTATCCATCTAAATTTGTTATTTATTTTGCAAAATACATCATAGTTAAAAATAAATGGTAAAATAGTAAAGCGTTGCATAAACTTAATTAGTATCGTCATGACATATGTGATAAAGTATGAACATAAACCATCCACAATCAAATGAATGATAAATATTTAACGAGGTTTACTAAATTAGTGACCTCTACATATAGAAGTAGAAAAACTTTATTGATCAAATTTTTTTTACTAGATTACAGATTCTCCCTACCATAGATTCTCTCTACCATTGATAGGACATGTACAAACTATATATATGGAAGGAGATATGGGTAGTCATAAGTGAAATTTGCTATAAGTAGTACCAAAACTTAACATTCTTATCCGAACAAGTTTTTCTTCAAAATAACATTAAATTAATTAATTGATTGATTATTAAGAATATTCATTTACTCAAAAGCCTGTGTATCATAATTACTTTATACTCGGTATAAAATATATAAACTATATTTTTTCTCTCTTTGATCAATTCTCTCTTTCCTTGATTTGCCTTCTTATATTTTCCTTTGGATGGATATGGTAAAAATTATGAACAATGTTCACTGGTTTGGAACATTGTAAAAAAATATGGACATGTGATGACATTGTTTAATGATCTAAGACGACACTGATGGCTAATGTAGTGGACATAAGAAATTGTAACAATGTCTCTTTTTTAACCAAAAATTGATATTTGGTTACACACTTACACCCTAGCTAAGATGGGGTGAATTAAGGTGTTTGAAAGTTTTTTTCAAAAACAAAAACTTAAGCAGAAGTAAGAATAGAACAAGAGAAAGGAAAATAGTAATAAGTAAAATGGGGCATGAAAGAAAAATTTTATACTAGTTCGGGAACTCCTACATATATATAGGGATAAGGATAAGAAAGATAATCCTAGTCTTATTTTTAGTCCTAATCATAATAAGTTTAGAAAATAGATTCACGACATTTTCTTAAAAAATTCCCACCTTGATTTGAATTCTCTAAAAAACATATGCACCAGAATCAGATGTACCAGATTTTCTCCAGTCCCAAAAGTGACAAGATGTATCATCGGTACCAGAAGTCCATTCTACGAGACAAATTTTACCAACATAATGAGAAACATTTTGTTGTACTTGAGTCCAGAAGTATCGCAACACACCAAATTAAAATATATTTCCCTTGTGCCTGGGGACATCTAGCTGAAAACACCAAGAGAAGCGAACTCTACCTAGAGTCCAGATAGCTCTTCATAGATTTGAACAAAAAATAGATGACACTAACCTAGTGTTCGAGATAGCTCTTCATAGACTTGAACAAAAATAAATGACACTAACCTAGTCTATTAGATAGGTCACTCTGAAGCCCAGATTGCCTCATTGAGGCACAGAAAAATATGATTTTTCCAAGGTGATCAATAGTCTCAATCTACAGAGATGGAACTTCCGCCTTAACATCAAGATCTTCATCACCTATACGAATCTCAAATGATGCAACAACAGCGGAACGTGTCATATTAGAATATGGTAGAAGATATAAGAAGATTTACAATAACGGGGTGGACTCCCGCTCCCGTCGCATTGTCTGCCACATCAACATTCCATTAATTTTCATCCCTGCCCTAAAATACATGTAATGCTATCACTCTCTCGTCTCGCCAACCTTTCTGTTTCTTTTATATTATTCATCATTTTTAATTCAAATTTTTATAAAAAAACAAAATACATATAATTAAAATTAAAACGCTAACAAAAATAAAATAAAATGAAATAAGATTAAAATTTTAAAAAAATACAATGAAAAGTACTGCTAGAGTTAAGTATCGTTGCACATCCAAATTTCTTCGATCAAATCATCTTGCAAATTTTACTTCTGATCTTTATGAACTACACAATCTATTAGATAATAGATTGTATTGTTGGGTTCATATAGAATTTGATCTTTTGCAAATTATACAACTTCTCTACGAACTACACAATTTCACTTTTCTTAATAATCCATTCAAGTCAAATATAGATTTCTATTTCCCAAACAATGAGTGTGCATAATCTCAATAACTTTCTCTAATAAAACCCAACCAATTGAATAAATTAGGCTCATCTCACGGATCTTGCCTTCCCTTTTCCCCACATCCCCATTCTCCTTCATAACTTCTCTATTTCCCCATCCACCTATATATACACACACATGCATACTATTAACTCCCCTCTTTATCTTTCACCAAGAGAGAGAGAGAGACTAAGAGAGAAAAGCGCTGCATATATATTGCACTGCCTGATCCTTTCAGTATTGCTCCATAAATCTTGAGATTATATATATATACATATACCCACACACATATATATATGCGCGCAGTAAATTATTTATTTTGACCTCGGTAAATAAATACGGAGTATAATTATATAAAAGGAAATTAAATATAAATGGCTTCTTGGGTAAGAACAATCACCACGCCCTTCAGGAAAGCTCGTACGTTGTTCAATCCCCAACCACGAGACAAGAAAACTCAACAACAAGGTAAATGTATGTCCTTATCTACTTTGTCTCTCAATCATTGTTCAGCTATTTTTACTATTATTAACAAATTTATTTTTACATAGCTTTTATAAATTGTATATGCACATATTATATGAATTATTGTGCCATTCTTTAATTACTCACCATATATTTTTATGAAATACTCTTTTTTCCATGGAAGATTTTCCACATTCTTTTTTCATCAATTCCAAATATAATTTCTTTTTAATAAAATAGAATTTGCAAATACATGACTCCGTAATACACACACACACACTGTTTTATTTGTTCGCGTGGACAAATTTTTTTAAGAAAGTTAAAATTTGTGAATATATTTGTTAGAAAATTAATTCAATCAAAAGTTCGAATATATTTGCTCACTTTGGTAGCCATGCTAAAGGTTAACACCAACATTTTGAAAAGACTATCTGATGGTAGCTGTTAGTATTAGAATTTTCAAAGTGAATCTACAATACGAAAATTTTATGTTAAATGCTAACGTAAATCGAAAATATTGTTCCCAAACAAGAACTGCAAAACATGAGTGGCCCTGAGGATGTGCAAATTAGCCAGGTCCCTAAAATTTTTAGAGCCCCATTTTTTAAAATTTATTATTAATTTTGAAGTATAAATATTCTAAAATAATAAAATTGAGCCCAAAATGAAAATTTCGGACTGAGCCAATTTCATTATTTCATTTTTCGAAGCCGGTCTACTACAAAAGGTGACAATGAAAATTTTTATACTTAACCATAGTTGACGTGCAAAAGAAAAGCATATCCAATATAGTAAATATTGTGCTTAGAGATGCTTTCTTGCTTGTATTTGTAAGGGAAAACTCCTCTTATATTCAATTTGTATTCTTATTATTCTTACACTTGTCATATTTTCACTGGAATTAATTATTATTTTTACTTTAAACTCGTCATAATTTATTTTTAGTTATCGACAAATTAAAATATATACCCGGTTTTAAACTTTAAAACTTCATAAAAATAGAACAATATCCAACCCTCCAGATCCCACTTCAATTTCAAACTCTAATTAAACTATAATTTTCAGACTTTAGACTCTCTTGTGCCATGAAATTATTTTCAGACTTATGCTCTGAGTATTATTCTCATGACACAAAAGAGCGCAAAATATTTTTTAGAAACGGTAGGACTATATACTCCGTAATTGATATCGAATTAATTCGAGCCACAAACCAATTAAAACATAAGAGAATAAATAATAAATTTAGACTACAAAGTTTAAATTTAGTGTAGACATGAAAAAATTAGTATCAACAGTATAGTATAATTAGTCTCTAATCAATCAATTATTGCCATGATCCAATGATAATTAATATCAATCTCAAGAAAAAGTTGTGGCCTCTAATTAAATAATTAAAAAAGCATCCCTCATAAAAAAAGGATTATGCTATGTGTACCCCAAGTTTTGTACCCAATTTGTACCCCGCAGTTTTGCACCAACACTTTGTGTTGGTGTAAAACTAATTTTTGTTAAATGCACCAACATTTGTGTCCGTGTGAATTTTTATTAACGCACCAACACTTGTGTCGGTGTAAACCATCGAAATGTTTGTACAAACCTGTGGTGTACAAATGGGGTATATTTTCTGGTGTAAGTGTAGCATGGTCCATTAGACAAAAAAAGAAACGGCTAAACGTGTCAATCTGACAAACTAAGGCACATGACTGTGCATAAAATAATGATAACATTTGTTTTTTGTTGAAGTATTTCACGAGCAATTTCTTTTTATACATCAATATTGAATAGAATATTGACTTTTTATTTCCAAAATTAGTGCTCCATAAATGTTTATTAAATTCCCAAAATAATTTCTTTTAAATTGAAAATTGCGGAGTAATATTTTATATTGACAATTTTTTTTCCTTTTGAATCTTCCGAAATTGATTATTCATTTGAATACTCCTAGTCAATTTCAATTTTAGTTTCAAGAGATCTTAACTCATACTCTGTCTATTTCAAGATAACTATTCATTAAGAATTTTATATACATTTAAAATTAAATAATATAGACTATAATAGACATAATATGTGTTGGCATTAGTTTACTCTTTGATGTATATAAAAATTATACTCCATCCGTTCACCAAAACGGTTCTTATTTTAAGAAATGAGATAAATAAAGAGTGTATTTCCAATTTTGTCTTTGGTGTGATGGTTAAAAGTAATGAGTAGATTATTCAGAAAACTGCTCTTGGGTACCCCATATTTTGAGAAACTAAGTGCCGGGTACCTCATATTTTCAAAATATACTCCGAGGTACCTTCTATTTTCAGAAACTAACTATCGGGTACCTCACATTTTTAAAATATACTCCGAGGTATCCTCTATTTTGAGAAACTAACTATCGGGCACCTCACATTTTTAAAATATACTCCAGGATACCTCCAAATATACATTAATTTTACACCATTAATTTTAAGAAATAGGGGTTTGGAATTTTAAAAAAACCAAGATCTTTTTAATTTGAAGAAAATTGAGTACTCAATTTTAAAAGTATTGAGTATAATTTTCTTCAAATTAAAAAGATCTTGGTTACTTTTAAAATTCTAAACCCCTATTTCTTAAAATTAATGACGTAAAATTAATGTATATTTGGAGGTATCTTAGAATATATTTTTAAAAATGTGAGATACCCAATAGTTAATTTCTCAAAATAGATGGTACCTCGGAGTATATTTTAAAAATGTGAGGTGTCCGATAGTTAGTTTCTCTAAAATTGAAGGTACCTCAGAGTATATTTTGAAAATGTGAGGTATCTGGCAGTTAGTTTCTCAAATTATGGGGTACCCAAGAGTAGTTTTCTGGTAGATTAGTGGAAAAAACTGATGTGATAGGTATGGTAATAAAAAGTATGGGTAAAATTAGTTTTTTAATAAAAGATAAAAGCGTTTTAGTGAAAGAGAGTCATAATAAAAAAGGGTTTTAACGGACAAATGAATAGAGTGTAAAGTACTCCGTAATAAATAGTTATTTGAAGACATAGGGAAACAACATCAAATCCTATTTTGGCACATCATATCTAAGAACATTTTTAGAAACTCAATAATAAAATACAGTCTCCTTAAATCTTTTAGAAATAAAAAAAATTTCATATTTTCCTGTAATAAACGGTTAAAGTTCAAAAAGTTTGACCATGAATATAATGTCAAAATGAAAAATTAATTTTAAGCCGGAGATAGTAGTATTTTCATGAAAATAACTTACTGTTTATTGTCCAATAATTATGAGTCAATTAGAGAGTGTAAGAATTTTAGTAATTTTTTTTATGTATAGGTACAATACTAATTTTAGTAGTTAATTATTTCTGGTATTAAATTGAACCAGGGCAATATGAGAATAAGATATCAGATTTGCATGGAGAAGTGATGGCTTGTGCATACGAGGACGTACAAGTGATGTGGTCAATTTTGGACAAGTCCAAGCCCCGCCCTTGCAATATCACTTCCTCTTAAGGACTATTCGCAAATTAACTGGACTTTGCAGTAAAAAAAATAAAATAAACTACTCGGTATTTGCTTGAGTTTTTTGATACTTGTGATTTTTTTAACATTTATAAATGGGGATATAATAAGTATGTCTCCATTTATCTCGTTTTTTAATGTATCAAAAAATTCAAGCAAGACGTTAATTGAAAATGAAGGGAGAAAATAATAATATAATGAAACTTTTGAAGACCCAAAATATAATGCCCAAATGTTCTTGTTGATGAGGTGGGAAGGAGAAGAAGAAAAGAGGACGCCCAAAGACAAGATAGAAGCAAATGGTTAATTAATTAAACTAAGAATTGCCCCCCTATGGATTTAGTTTGGTGATGTTGGTGTGTGGCATCTAATTTGTACTTGTATTATTAGTTGTATAACTAATTTATACTACTCCATAATAAATTAATGTGTCATTTTCACCACAAATTAACTAGTCCTATGTTCTTAATTACTTTCACAGGTGAAAAATTAAAACATATACTCCCTCCGTCCCGGAGTATTCGTCCACTTTTGACCTTTGGACTGTTATCTAAGCACTTTGACTTATCAAATTCTCTCAATCTTTAAGCCTAAATATAGTTATGTGTGATTTTGTTTGATTTGTCTTAACATATAGATTATTAATATATAATTTCTATAATTTTTAATTTACAAATTACAAGATAAAATGGATTAAAGAAGTGGATTGGATGGTGTATAAGAATAAAAATGGACAAATACTCTGGGACGGAGGTACTATTCAATAATTGTTATGGATCAATATTATTGAATACAACTTTGTTTTTCAGTATTTTGAATGAAGGTTGATAGATGCAATGAGAGAAAAAGTATATAAATCTGTGAGTTGGGTATGATCCTTTTTTGCATAACATATTTAATGGTGTAGATTAGCAAGACGAAACTAACTATTCTCATTTTGGTCGAATTTCAGAATAAAGTGTTAAGTCTGAAAATAAACCAAAATATGAGAGTAGATGATGTCGAAGATCGGAGTGAAAACAGTTTAACTAACTAAACTCGGGGGTTGATGCGAGCCCTCGAGGTGATTCCAAACAAAGTTATTTTGAGGTCAATAATTTCCCCGAAGTACTAAGCGAGCCTTTGCCACTACTACTTGAGAGCTGCGACCAAATTATTATTGTATAATGAGTTAGAGATTTCTGAGTACGAGAGAATTATCACTACAAGAAAAAAGGGATATGAAGACACTTAAAAAAAGTCGTCTTTTATATTTAAGGACACTAAGACAAAGTGTCCTCTATCAAGGAGTCATAGTAAGTATGAAACAAGGACACATAATTTGCGTCATCTTTTCTATATAAGGACACCCTTAGAGCTCCATAATTGGTGTCATGAATGCCATACAAGGACACATAAAATGTGTCATCTTATTACTTAAATCGTGTTCTCTATTATAAACTATGACACTATTTATGCGTCTTAAATTATTTCTAAAGTGTCCTTGTTTCCATAAGAAGACACAAAAAATATGTCTTCTTATACTTGGCACGTACCATTTAATTTGTACAAAGACGCCCTTTGTACGTCCTTAAAATATCTAAAAGTAGTCATAGTATATCAATAAGAGGACACACAAATATATGTACACTTTAATTCAAAATTTCATTAAGTAATAATTAAAGATGGGAAATCCCAAAATTAGAAGTACGGTAGACCAAAAATCAATTCAAGTTGACCAATGAAACATCTACTTAAATACAAAACCACCGCATCATATTTCGATCATATATACATATATCCATCTATGTTATTTCAAATCTAAATATGCTAACTATTAAACTTCATTTGCTTGGATATATGAGTCAACCACTTCTGCCCACTCTACTCGAACTTCATCAATCTCTGCTTGGGTGTATGAATTTTTTTCCTTGAATTGAAATAATAATGGTAAATATTTATAATCAATGTGTCAGTATAACTTGTAAAAGAAAACATGGTATACTTTTATAGACAATTTACATTGGTTACCATATAGAGTAAATTCTACCACCAAAAACTAACTAAATTAATATATACTTACAGTACCGGCCATTACCCAGTACTATATTACAAATGTTTTTCTCCCCTAAATATATTGTACTGTATAAGAAAAATTGAGTATTATTTGTATTAGTATTATTCTTATTATTATTATAGTACACCATATGTAGTATACTAGCTTAGGAATAATCTCCAACAAACTAGCTAGGTTCAAGCTGCTGGTACAAAAAATTAAAAATAAAACTAAACCAAAAACATATCCCATATTTCAGCCAACAGTAGCCCTGAGATCAAGTTTTAGCCAACAACAGTCCAGCTTTAAGATCATGTTTTAGCCAAAAGTAAGCCAATAGTAGCCCAGGTTTAAGGTCAAGTTTTAGCTAAAAGTAGTGCACATTTAAGCCAACTAATAAGTTAATATATGTACATACCTTATCTTTAATTGTATTGATTGAAGTTCCAATGATATCTTTCATGTATTTCATGATGTAATATCCAGACTCCTCAACTCTTGCTTGACTAGGACACTATAAAATGAATTGAAATGTCTCACATTTACGTGTTCATTTCATGTAAGGAGTTCATGACCAACACTAAAACAAAAAAAGTACATACCTGAATAACTTGCCAATGTATTTTTTTACGACTATTTACACCTTTTTGAGCATAAAATATCTTCATGGCACTGCATATAAATTGTATTAATAAAATTAAAATGGTCTCCACCCATTTCTCATTAAGGAAAAGTATAAAAAGATAAAAATCATTACATTTCGATAACATTCTTCATTCCAAGATTGACATTCATGTCACTCAACGGGTCAAGGTAATACACCAATGCCGCCAAAGGGTTGATAACAACCAGTAACCAATGATTCCTACAACAAAAAAGTTAAATAACAATGAGCTACTTGCTATCATTGCATTTTTGAACTACCAAAAAGAATTAGCGTGAAACCATTGTATTCATAAACTTACCCTGTATTATAAGGAGCAAAAAATAACTGGTCTAAGTGGGCAGATTCAAATCTATGTGATAATGCATTTGATCTAGCCTCAATTTTTCCAGTTGATTGAGAGATGTGACTTGGATCAACAAATCCATACAGGTGACCCTTGTTCTTTTGTTGCAATACTGACCAAAGATGCCTATAAAAGATTTTAAATATATGTTCTAATATAAATAGCATATAAGTTAAACAGTATAAGTTTTAGTACATTAAACACACTTCACTTACCTCATGTATATAGAAATGCAAATACTAGATATTGGATTCATTAAACAAAAGTGACTGATATCATTTTTGCTAATGAAATTGTTTTGCTCCATGCCAAACACACCGTCTTCCATTATCAAAGATATTCTTTCATTTTCAGCCATTGACCTAACAAAACGCAAGAGAAGATGCACATACATAGGCATTTTGTATCTTACTTTTGGATTCATTAAACAAAAGTGACTGAACTCATACTTTTCAGGTTTTTTCTTTACCAGTTTGCGATTATGTTTATACTTCAACAAATATTTTGTTGTCAAAGTGCTCTTAAATGATTTCCATTTCTTTCCTGCGCTCGAGTAGACATCCTTCTTGCTTCTTTTATCCACAATGAATGATTTCTAGAAATGCAGATCAAAACATCTAAGTTAGTAAAATAATAAAAATAATTACACAGATTGGGCTACAACATGTTTTTTAAACTTTTAACTTTTCCTCATCTGAATGAGTTGGTGGATGAATACATTTTTAAAAATATATTTCTTTAATAAGCACAAGCAGCCACAAGGTCCTGAGAAATCCATATAGTAGAAACATGGATGCAACAACAAAAGAACATATGGGTTAACCTAGACAAATGATAACGTAAGTTAATGTGCCCATGATACTGTTAAAATTTTAGTAATATTTTACAAACCTGAACCATGCTCCATATAATTTCTTTGAGAGATTGTGGTACATCTTTCCATGTGGCATATGTAATTGGAACAGTGGTTCGAGCCATTATTCCAATAAAAAAAAGCTAGTTGTTTTCCTCCAGAACCAATTGGTTGCCCCTTTCTATTATACATTACTTCTAAGCGTGCTCCTTTGCTCTTACCATGAATTAGGTCTGACATCAGAGTTGGATCTCTTGTCTTCTTTTCCTCATACCTACACATCTCATCTTCAGTATACTTGTTCTCCTCTTCTTGGTCCATACGGGCAGATGCTATAACAATAAATTATAAAAAAAAAATATAGTTGCAATGAATTGCAGCGCTTGCGTTCTCCGTTTGAAAAAAAATTGCAGCACTTGTGTCCTTAGGTCTGAAAAAAATTGCAGGTGAATCGATCCAACCGCAGCACTTGCGTCTTAAAGTCTGAAAAAAAGAATTGCTTCTCTCAATTTTTTTGGGTCTGAAAAAGAAGCCCTACGAATTGTGAATAGGGAAGAAAGAATCTACTTGAGCAGAGAACATCCGAGGCTACAATCCATATAGATTACAGTAATCAAAAACTCAAATCAACATCAACAATCTTGTACTTAAACATAAATTGAAAATTTTTGAAATAATTGTTAACACGGAGAAAAAAAATATGAGCAATGAAATTTCACAAGTTCACTTCAAATTTCTAGAAAACAATCTAATTAAAGCAACTTGGATAAAAAAAGAAACTTAAGAGTAGAGCAAAACCTTTGAGAAGAGATCAAAGAACGGTGAGAAGTGCAATTCGATGCAATTGCACAGGTGAATTGCAGCACTTGCGTCTCTCAATTTTTTTTAGGGTCTAAAACGAAGCCCTAAAAATTGTGAATAGGGAGCCAGAATCGAAGAGAAGCCCTGAAAATCGATTGAAATTGAAAACGGGAAAGAGAAGAATGAGACTTTTGCAGTGGCGGGCTGAGAATTTTGGTGCGAAGAAGAGAGGGAAAATCTGAGCGGCTGAAAAATTAGAAACTAATTGCAGTAGGTTAATTACGGAGTTGATCCTTCTTTTTTATTAAAAAAATTTAATTGTAGTAGGTTAATTATTACCCACTAAGAAGAAACTACTCCGATCCGTACAAGTCTACAACTAACTCACTTGGTTTTAAAAATTATAGAGTAAAAGTTGTTTAAAAAATTTTTAAAGTAAAATATCCTCCGTATAGGTGCAGTGGACAACAGGCTTGTTAATTTTAGTTTTCAAAATGAAAACTTAATTGATGTCCTTAAAAATATTTTTAGTAAAATGTGTCATAAAAAACTTTTAAGGACATCTCAAAAATAATGTGTCCTTGAATTGTGTCCTTGTATCTTATTTTTCTTGTAGTGTATGAATGTCTTTGTCTTGTCACGTGTCACCTAAGACCATGTGTAATGATGGCGTGAGGAGGGTGTCACTACCTCCTTTAAGCCTGAATCACCATGTCGCACTTAACTTTTTGGGGTGTGGCCGCTTCCTGCGCGAGGGTCATCTTGTCGGGACCCTTGTTTCTTTTTTTAAATTTCAACCAATCAAAATAATTCACATCTTTATTCTATCACTTTTTGTCATACTCCCTTTCAAACTCATACCACACATATTTTTATCACTCTACATCATACGGAGTACTTCTTTATACTCCATCAAGCCCGCCATAACACAGAGCCTAATAAGCGATTATGGATTGTTGTCTAAATTCTTATACTCCTCATTTTTCTACTAATTTTTTCCTTAAAAAAAGAGAAACCCCACCCGAGATTCTCAGAAGTGACTGGACGGTCACATGATTTATTTATTTTTTTACGAACGACAGGTGATGGAAATATGGGCCATGCCCCCAAGGCCCATTAATTTGGGCCGAGAAGATCCATGGACGGGAGCCCACAGACTTAAGGGAACACGCATTGTCGAGTTTCTTGTTTCAAACTCAGACATACCACGCTAACCCAAGCCCGGCAGCCAATGCCAAGTCCGGAAACTGCCAAGGTCATTATATTTTTATAATGCATATGAGGTGTTTGATTGTTTGCCTAAACGACATTAAGCAGAATAGTTGTTGTCATAGTTTTAAAAACCGGACCGGACCGGCCGGTTCGGACCGTGAACCAGCGAACCGGTGGTCCAACCGGTCCGGTCCGGCCCATTGGACCGTAATGCGCTTCGAACCGGTCCGAACCAGTGTGAACCGGTAAGAACCGGCCGGTCAGACCGGTCCGACCAGTTTTTTTTTTTTTTTTTTTTTACAATTTTTTTCCAAAACTTCACTTCATGGAGGTTTGAACCCAAGACCTCTTAGCTATATGGTTAAGTTCTTAACCATCCAACTAACGGTGTTTGTTGTTTCAAATTCATATAATTTTTTCTAATATTTCATAATTAATAAAAAGATTGTATAAAAATTACTTTTCAATTTTAAAAATATACTCCCTCGTCCCATTTTAAATTGCATGTTTACCTTTTTTCTCCGTCCCTAAATAAGTTGCCTGTTAGTTGTTTTCGTAAACTTTTAAAAATAAAATACCTATACTACCCCTAAAATAAGTCACTCTTTTTCACCTTATCTTCTCATTTATCATCACTCTTCCTAAAAAATAATGTCAATTTTGGAAAATCAACTCTATTTTTTATTTTCCTTAAATATGCCCAAAAGTCAAAACAGGCGATTTAAATTGGGACGGATGGAGTAATAAGTAGTATAATATGCTATGAGTCAAACACAAAATCATTGATATGTTTTTAATAAAATTTTAATATTATTTTTAACATGTAAATTTTATATTTTAATTTAGTAAAATAACTCAAGTATGTTAATATAATTTTAGTCAAAAAATTACTTTCTTTATATATTTATATATGAGAATGTGTGTGTGTGTGTGTGTGTGTGTATATATATATATATTTATATATTTATATTTATATTTATATAATTTTTAAATATGTTTAAACCACCGGTTCGACCAGTTGAACCACTGGTTCGACCAGTGAACCAGTACCTTGACCGGTTCGGTCCCCGGTTCGGTTCTCAAAACTATGGTTGTTGTTGCTCTTGTGTTTCTGCTTGCACGGGTCATTATGTTCATTGACATCATTAATCTGTTTGCTAATCTCCTTTAGCTAGTTCATAGAGATCATTAATCAACAGTTCTGTGATTATAAAATTCTTTTTATTTAAAAACGATTGACAATCGCTAAGGACAATCAATTTCCCAAAGTCAGATAATGTGTCAAAATGCACACAACATACTAGATTTGTGTCAACTGTGGATAACCCAAAAATATATTCTGGCTTGAGTTTGCTTATGATCCATCTCCATGCACAAATTTCATCTCTGGTTGCTTTCATTACTTTGTTGAAAAATTTCTCTTCTTTGATTTGAAATCTATTGGAAGGAGCTCTTATTTTAATTGAACTATTATATGAGTATATGGACAATAGATTACTCTTAATGATAATACTGAAAACATAATCTTTACAGTCATATGGGGAAGATGACTTCTGTTAGCAACAGATAACCTGAATCAAGAACCAAAAGAATGTAAATCTAATTGCCCGGGTTTCGAGCTCTTCGGTTGGAGATAACTAAATATGGGTCTCTCTGGAACAGGGATGCACTTGACAAGCAAGCCGATAGGCCAAGAAGCAGCTGCAAGTCCTATGCAGATTCCCCACTGCCCCCAGTTCAACCTCTCTGTATCAGCAAACTTCTTCAGAAACTCAACCATCACCACCTGAAGAACGACCGTTATGGCTATAATCCCCACAAACAGCCTGTTCTTGTGTACCCCTCGGAATACGTTCCTCTTCTCCAGCTCGCGTGCATTGAACTCGTTGAACACTTGGCAGAGAACGAAAGTGTTGAAGATCATTGTGTCATTGACCTTTTCGCCCACCCTCAGGATCGACTCGCCTCTGAATTGCAAGACCAGGAGGATGGAGATCTGGTACATGGCTTGAGCTAGAAGGTTCCTCCACATGATGTTGGTAACAAGTGGTTCTGTTCTTCCCACAGGTGCCTTCTTCATGAGTTCCCTTGTTGGTTTTTCTGTGGCAAGTGCTAATGCACCTAGGGTGTCCATAATCAGATTGACCCATAGTAGCTGAACGGCTGTTAGGGGAACCTCTCCAGCTGAAACCGCGGCTACAAAGTTGATCACAAGGGCTGCCACATTGACAGTGAGCTGAAACTGGATGAACTTTTGGATGTTGTTGTAAACACATCTTCCCCATTTAAGAACTGTGGCAACAGAAGCAAAGTTGTCGTCCAAGATCACGATATCTGAACTCTCTTTAGCCACTTCTGTGCCTTGGATCCCCATTGAGAGACCTATGTCTGCTTCCTTTAAGGCTGGGGCATCATTGGTGCCATCACCTGTGACTGCAACAATGTGGCCTTTCTTTTTCAGGCATTGCACCATGAGAAGCTTGTCAAAGGGAGAAGATCTTGCCATCACGCGGATCTTTTCAACTCTCTCCATTCTTTGTTCGTCCGTTAGGTTGCGAAACTGAATGCCTTCTATCACTACCTCTTCTTCGTCCTCTTCTTCATCTGCTGCTTGATAGTACTGCAGAATCCCACACTCTGTTGCTATGGCCTTTGCAGTGAAGATGTTGTCTCCAGTGATCATCTTGACCTTTACACCAGCTAATTGGCAATCTTCCACGGCTTTCTTCGCTCCAGCTCTGCACGGGTCTTTGAGGCCAACCAGCCCCAAAAGGGTCAATCCGTGCTCCGGTATCTTCTTCTTCTTCTGAAGCATTTCTCCATCTTTATGGTCAGTTTCGAAAACCTGTTTATGGGCTAGTCCAATGCATCTCAGGCTACTAGCTGCCATGCCTTGGATAATTTGGTTGAACCCATCTCTCTCTTGATCATTTATGACCTTCTTGTTCCCTTTGCTGTTGCAAAAATCTGTACACATTCCCAGGATCATCTCCGCGGCTCCTTTCCAGTGAGCATGGTTTGTTCCGTCGCTCATCTTCCTCGCCAAAACCCCACTCCTCTTTTTCTCAGAATTGAACGTTTCGACATCAAGAATGGCATATCTTCTCTTGATTTCCTCCATATCCATCTTGAGTTCCAAAACAGCCCACGAGAGAATTGCTTTCTCTGTAGGACTACCCGAGAACTCAAAACCGGATGAATTAGAAGCCTTGAAAATACTGCCTGTTGTGTTGAGGCCAACCCCTTGATGCAACAGATCAAGAACTCCATCTGCAATTGAACTTTTACTGTTCTTCCCATCCATGGACTCTTTCCCTAACCAAAACTTGGACACGGTCATCCGGTTCTCAGTGAGCGTGCCCGTTTTGTCCGTGCAGATGATTGTTGCAGACCCCATTGTCTCACAAGCAGAGAGCTTCCTCACCATGGCTTGATCACTCATCATTCTCTTCATTGAATAAGCAAGAGTTAGTGTCACTGCCAGTGGCAACCCCTCCGGGATGGCAACCACCACTATTGTGACAGCAGCAGCGACGATTCCCACCACAGAGTTGATGACATCATCGCGTTTCGTCTTGCTCCCTATAAACTCTTTGTGCCCATTATCGTCCTTGGTGTGCCCGGTAAAATACCTCACCAGCAAAACCACCAGCACCAGGGAAGCAACTGCCAAGCCAACCTTACCTATGGCAGAAGCAAGCTTGTTGAGCCTTACTTGGAGGGGAGTTTGCTCACTAGACCCACTGCTGCTGATTTTGCTCATCATCTCGCCCCAACCCGTGTTCAACCCGACCGAAGTAACCAGCATCTGGCCATACCCGT